ATACCAACCTAATTTATATAATTTTTTTTCCTGCTTAATTTAGCATTCGGAGTCTATGATTAGTAGATGCACTTTGTCAGTATTGAGGAAATTCGGTGTATGGGAGGAGAAGGTAGAAGTAATAAGATACTCAGTTGTTACAGTACTGACAATCGAGGATTGCTGACTTTTAATAATGTGCTATTATTGGTGCTGCATTTTCCCTTGATTACAGCTTTTGCCCATGTATATTTGAAGCAGCATTTAAGACCTAAACCAGGCATTTTGGGCTTCAAAATGAACTTATTTGGTCCCATGAAGTCCTCGTGAAAGCATTCCATGGTTTCTTTTCACTGATTTTTAGGCCAGCTATGTTTTGCTATGTGTCAAAACCTCCCACTGCCCTTCCTAGGAGGTTCAGGTAGGTACAGACTACCTGGCCTGCAGTGTATTCCAGAGCCTAGAATGAAATAGGTAAGATATTGCTGCATACAACATAAATAATAGATTCAGAACAAGGTTTTTTTCAGACTTACCACTACCAAGGGAAGGCACAATGAAACTGTCACCGTTTTTCAAGAGGCACTGTGGAACATTCCAGATGATAAAACTTGAACCAAATTGGCATATGCACTTTAAGATCTGGGACAGGCTGTTTTGGAAGAAAAAGGGATCTTAATAACACCATTAAATTACAGTAGTTTGCAATGTTCATTTAAAGCTGAGTGAGGGGCTTTTTGCAGGGGAGAGAACTTGTTGGTGACTGACTTACAGCAACAACAGAAGCACTCTGAATTGGGCATCCATGGTATTACACATGATCCATCAGATCAGCCTTTTTTGCTGAATCCAGTGGCACCAAACAGAGCTGCAGACACAGGCTTGTCTTTAATGGCTGGGGTTTACCTTCATAGTTTTTCTGTGAGTCTCTTCGAAAAGTTTCTCTGCTTGTCTTCTTTTGCATTGCAGAAAAATAAAAAAAAAAGACAACACACAAAAGACTGCGTTGTGCTGAGCCCTGCTTCAAAATGTGTGTTTAAGTGTCTGATTCCTAATTTTAAAACACTGAGCAGGCTTCACTATATTTTTGATGTGAAGTATTAAAAAGAGCTCCTTTTTATTGTGGTGTCAATTCCGACTGTGCTTTGAACGAAGTGACTCAGTCATTTTATACATAGGCATTTGCCAAAACATAATGTTACATTTCACTCCAGCTCACCTGAGTTAAATGTGCTGAATCCTCTGTTTCTATGGGGGGGAGCAGTATCAGCAGTGAGGATGAGTGCTCTATAAAACCCAGCAAAAAGCTGCAACTGCATGTACTTCTTTCAGAGATAGCAGTTAATGGTCTAAAGGGCATGAGGGCTCTCTTGCTGAATGCCTTGGTACTAGTTTTGTCTGACACCAGAGACCATTTAGTGCCTGGGACCATGGCAATGAGGAGTGAAAGAAACACTGACCAGGTAAATAAAGAACTTAGAGAAAATAAGTACTACCTGTTTGCAGTATTGAGTGGTTGAGAGGGGAGGTGGATCCTAAGAGGTGGGATTCCAGACCTCTAATGGAAATGAGAAAACTCTTTGAATCACTTTTAAAGAGCATTCATGCTGTAGCCACGGAGCTCAGCATGAGGGGAGTGCTTTGATAAACAGCTGAGATGAGATGCTGACAAGCCCCTGTTCAGGAGTGTAAGAAGATGCAGTTTGTTACATCATCAGTTTCATTGAAAGTTCTGTTCATTACAGTCTCTGCTGGTTTCATCTTCTATAGGCAACACAAAAGAATAGTGATTGCTATTAATATCAAACTGATTTAGAGTTTTTTTTTTTTTTGCTCTGTTTCTTTGATACATGAATGTTTCCAAAAAAAATCTTCTTCAAACACTGAGTTGTTAATTTAAAACAAGCATGCAGTGTATGTGCTGGTCTGCTGTGAGAGCAGAAGGAAAAGGTCTGACTGTAGGGGCTCCTAGCAGTTGGCAGAGCAATGTTCTGGGTCTGTCCTCAGGTAATGGTGGAGCTTCCTGCAGTGAATAAACCCTTGGTCATGATAAATAAGGACTTTAGAGCTCAGTGCTAGGTTGTGCTGTCAGCATTCTGAATCACAGAAAGAATTGTGCATCCCAGAGTGGAAGCAAATAGCTCTGCTTGGGTTTATAATTTGATTATTCAGCTATCCATTGGTCCAGTCACAATATAGTTTTATCACGCTAAAACCCAAAGATCCCAAGTGCTTTACAGTAAATAGAAGTTTGTGTTAGGTATTACTTTGGTTGAAATTTTGTGCCAGAGAAACCCTCTAGCTGAACTGTTATGGCTCCAAATTACTGCCCCTTCTTCTGTCAGACATTTCCCAGGGATGCTGACAACTCTCAGAAAAATAATTTTATTGTGACCTGGGCATTTTACATTTTTAAATTATAGTGGTGAAATGCATTCCTGATGTGAATGGATTTACACTGGGGATCATTTTAGTTCTACTAATGTAGTTCAAATGATTTCACATTGACATACATTTCAGCTAAAAATAATGCAAAATGAGATATTTCAGGTTCACTTGCAGTGGTGAAATAATTTGGAGGAGTTCCATTAGAATTCATGGAATCACAGCAGCACCAAATCTGATTTCAAATATACTCTGATACTTAACAGTGTGCTGGCATTTGTTTAAAGAATTCCCTAAGCATTTTTATAGTAATCTTAAGTGCCAAGTCCATAAGACTCATAAGGAGAGAGTTTTGCCTGCTGAAGGGTTGGATTTAATGGCTGACTTCAGAGATCCATAAATTTTTTCTTTTTACATTTCTGCTGTTACATTGGTTCCTTGAAACCATCAGGCTGGATGCTGGACTTTATACCAGAAGAAGTGTTGTGTAACCCAGTTAGACTGAAGGGCTTTAGTGTTCAGTTAAGATTTCTGGAGTGATTCCATAAGAGGCTAATTCCATTTGATGGAAAATTTAATTTGTTTGTATTTGAAGGAAAGTTCTCCTGCTTACACAGGTTTTTGTGTGTAGAATCCACCTCTATGGTGTTCATGTAATGCAGAATAAATCTGGGAGATGCAGGGGATTAAAAAAACCCATTGTGATAATGATTACATCTGATTCATGACAATAGTGTCCTTGGTGTTTGGGGATACTGATAGGCATTCTTGTGATCATAAAAACTGGGATTTGAGTGTGTTTTCAGTCTGTAAAGCTTCCGAATGTGAAAGTTATTTTCATAATACTGGTGTGGAAAGAGTTTGGGATCAGGCCATAACCTTGAATAAAGGGTGTTAGAGTGTGACTCCTGACATGGAACATTGCTGTCAAGTTTGCTGTCAGGTGTTGAGAGTCATTTGACTCAGGATCTGAAAATTCAGTGCTGAGCTGCCCAAGAACATGAGGTACTTCATATTTGCATAAGTGTAGGATAAATGTGCTATGGAAAACCAGCTAAATATCAGAAAGTCTGTTCCTTTTGTAGCTAGTTGCTGAAAAGTCTGTCACACAGCATTGAAAAATGAGATGTGTCTTTCTGGCCATCCTGGATGCATAAAACTCATTCTGAATACCAATTAATTTTTAGCATAATCTTTAAATTTATAGGTAATGCTCAAATTAAATATAACCTATCCATGTAATTCCCTCTATTTCTCTATTTTTTACTGGTTCATTGTTACTTTCTACTGTCATTGCATCCAGTTATAAATATGTAAATAAAAGTTTAAAACTTTTAATTAATTGACATGAGAGAGTAAGAAATAAAAACAAATATTAAGAACTCCCCAGCTACAGCACCCAACATATAAATTACATATTTTTCTTATCATTAAATAATCTAAATAATAGAATAACTTCTGTAGACATGGGGCAGGGTATACACTTTTTCTCTTGCTATAACTGAATGATCAAATGATTCAGATTTTGCAGTGAATAGGATCTAGTTGACAGATTAATCATATTTTTGCAGCTCCATTTTAAACAAATATGCATAGAAAAATTAACACTTTTGTAAAAATGAAATCTTTAATTTCCACAGAGGCCATCTGATGTGGACAAAGTGATTGACAGATTAATTCTGGGTGAAAGTGCATTTTTTTTTTTGCCTCAAACCCAGGTACTCTACATAGTGCTGCCATGCTTCCTGTGTGTTCAGGATTCCGAGGACATTAATTCTGAAAGAAAAGTCATTAAAGCATTATGTACTGAGATGATTGAATTAATTCTTATTTTTAATCCTTTTCTGTACAATTAAAATGTGCCTTGAGACCTTTTTCTGCAACAGGCCCTTTGGAAAATAAATCTATAAGTATATAAGAAGAAAAAAAGAGAAGTCTTACATCACATGTAAAAGCTCATAAAACACACTAATTGAGGGAAAGTAGGTAAGTAAAAACTACTTGTATTTCCTCCATTTGTGCATTTATGGTGCTGCCAGTAAAACCAAGCTGGGGGCACCCTGGCTGAGCTGGTCTGCAGCTCCAGAGAGGTGCTCCATGTGTTGTTTCTCTTCCCTGGTCTCAGGGGCAGCAGCGGCTGCTGCTGGGGCATCGTGTGCCTGGGAAGATGCTTCCTGTGCTGGGCAGCACCACCTGGGATGGCACAGGTCCTGGAGGGCTTTAGCCTGTCTGGGGAGTCCACAGGGGAAAATGATGCCTCAGGTTTAGCTTTTCTATTTTTCACATTCTGTGCTGCTCTAGTGTGTGGGTCTGGGGGCTTCACATGAGGGGATGCTGAGCTCTCTGCACAGAGCAGGGACACAAAACAATTCCTGCTCCAGCTGGGCACCAAGGACAAATGATCCAAATCTCAGCCCAAGAGCACAAACACCGTGGGCTGAAGAGAGAAAAACAAGCAGGATGGGACTGCCTGGGCTGGAGCTGGAATGGGACAATGAACTCCAAGGTGCCAATGGAGCAGAACTGATCCCAGGGAGAGCCCCCGGGAGCGCTCGTGCATTTTGGGACCATTTTGGTTCATCTTGGGTGCAGCCCTGGCTGGGCTCTGGTGCTGCCCAAGGTGGATCCATGGAGGAGATCCTTTTAATCAATCTCTGCTTTATTCTTTAGCTCTGTCCAGCGTCTGCTCTAGGCCAGCCTTCCCAAGGCATCATACCACAAGCATCCTGCTGAGTGAAAAATTTGGATTATTTGCTTGGAAATACCATGCAGCCTTCCCAGACAGGGAGGCCTCAAGGACTCCAGTCTGCCAGTTCCTAAGTTGCAAAGGGTCTCAGGTCTGCGTTCACAAAATGTGCTTTTCAATATCTGAACTCCATTCATTTCATATGGAGCTGAGCTGTAAAATGTTTCCTTGTCTTGAGGAGCAAGCAATTTGATTAAGGTCAAAAGGGACACTCTTGTGGAGGAGGTTTCCAGGTGTTAGAGTTGTTACCTGAAGGAGTGTAGGAAGGGCCAGCACATATTCAAGAGAGATTTTGGTCTCTCTTTGTTTTAAATCTCTTGCTCAAATGTTCCTGGGCCATTTGTCTTCAGAGAAAAGGAGGGGGGTGGATGGAGTCGGTGAGGTATGTCAAAGGCATCTTTAATTTTAGATACATGCTTCTTTTCTGTTCTTATCAGTCAGAATAAACTAAGTTTGGGTGGGTTTTGTGGCTGGATTTTTGTTTTGGTTTTTTTTTAACATTATTGTTATTAGTTATTTAGTTCTAACACTTATTATAAAAGGATGATAGACACTGAATCTGGAATTATCATCCTGGACATGAATAGCACCACTCAGAAAACCAACTGAGACATACTCAGAATCACTCCTGTCCCTCTTGTTTGTTTCAGGTGTGCTGCCTTGGGGTCCAGTGCTCTTGCACTGAAGTCTTGCAAAGTTTCTTGTGTCAATGCTAGGCGGTGCCTGGCCCTGGTAGGAGAGCCAAGGAGAAAATCAGCTTTCCTTATTTGTGTTTATGTTGGTATGATTTTGGTGCAGAATTTTGCTATAGAGGAGGGATGCTCCCATGATATGCTGTGGAAAGAAATCCAATCACATGCACAGGGAGACTGCATTCCCCATTTTGCCCTGCCCTGTGCAATCAAGGACACTACTGGGTGCCCTGGAATCCCTACACTGAGGATCCCATCACATTCCTCTTCCACTGAGATCAGTGGAGGTTTGGTTTTCCATCAGAGCCCGTGAGATCTGTCCTTATTGTGCATCATCTTCTGTATGAATGAAGTTTAATTCCTGCCTGTTGTTGTCTCCTTGCTGACAGAGCTTTGATGAATTCAGGGTGTCATTCAGTGACAGTTTCTCCTTGCACAGGGAGCCTGAATGCAGAAAACTGCAGAGGGCTGTGGATGCTGATGAAAGGTGTGTAGGCACACAGTTTGTGGTGATTGGGAGTGGGGCTGGGGCTGATCCTCATCCCCAGTGGGTCCAATTGGAACACCAAGGTTTGGGTTCTGAGGATCACAAAGCAAAACTCCTTCTCTGTGCAGGACAGGTGAATAAAACTGAAGGTGAGGAGCCATGGAGTGCCCAGGTGTGCTGAGCAACCACACAGGGCACAGAGGCACACAGGGGCAGTGCATCAGCAGGAGGGGATAAAAGGCTGGGCTGAAGGACAAGGGGAGCAGAGCCTGCAGCCTCCTGAAGTGCTGTGGTGTTGCTTTGTGTGGGTTGGAGCTTTCTGAAATAGGGTGGTGACACTCTGGGTATTGTGGCTGTCTCGACTGTGACAAAGGTATCTCTTGTTTTTCTATCCAAAACTATATTTGTATTACAAGCTGTACGTTCCACACGCTGTGTATTTCAGGTTAAACACTTTCTGTTTCATCAGTGGGTTTGTACTTTAAAGATGCCCTCAACTTGCCCTGAATACCTCAGGAATTTTAAGAATTTATTTTTCAGGTCTCAAGCATGAGGGAAGATGATCCCTCTTTGCATTCAAAATGGCAAGGCATTATTTTAAAGCAGAAATTTTGCATATTTTCAGTTTAAGAAGCTAAGGAACAATATTTTTTTCTTTTAAAGTCATCCTTAAATATTAGCTGCAGATACACACACGGAAGAAAAATATGGTTTGATCACAGAAGAAATAGAAAATATTTTTAATTCAATGTTTAAAGGGCATAATTATGTTTTATTTTGTGCTAGATGACAAGCTTAGATAAATGTTGCTTTAGAAAGAATCTATCCTACTGCAGAGAGTGCAGTGGAGGAATTGTATACCAATTTATACTCCAGCATTTATTTCTGTGTATGCTTATTCCTGTTAGCTATTTATAGGCAATGTTACTTATTCAGGACTCATAGATCTCAAAATTAAGGACAAAAATGTTATAAGGATCTGAGTAAATGAGAGGAACAAGGTTTAATTCTTCTGAAAATCTGCAAGAAAAAATTGGTTTTTTGGTGCCTTTTTACTTGTGAACATCTCCTCTAATTACTGACAGGATGATTCCATAGGCTAGACAATAAAACTGTTTTGTGTGGCTAGTGAAATATTTTCTGTTACCCAGAGTTTAATGGAGGATTAGCATTTTTATGTCTTTGAAATACGCAGAAAATGTGAGAAAACTAGAAAGTAGAAATTTTACTGATTTGCTGCTCTTTGACCTATTTTACAAGAAAATATTGCCAGAATTGATTAGCGATGCTGGACAGCTCAATTTCTAAGCAAAATGGAGTGGCTGTAAACAGATTTTCTCTTGAATTCATGAAGAAAAAGTGCTTTTTAAATTGTCTTATTTTTGAGCACCCAGAAACAAGGGCATTCAGACCACTATCTACTTCTGAAACATTCTGATGGTTTGACTGATTTGTTCCTTTTGAGAGAACAGAACAAATAATATTCCAGCTGTTTTTGTTTTCTGTGCTATTCTGTATTTTGAATTCCACCTACTAGAAGCAGGCAGAGAACCCACAAGGTTTCCAAGCACAGTCTGTTGCACTGCCAAATAAAACAACAGATGTGATTTAGCAGGTTCCCCTAATTAGTCAGGCATCTCACATTATAGGATTGCCCAAGGAACTGCTCCTAATACCTCTGCCCTTGGCTCTAGGCTTTAAAAGGCTCTCCTGATGCCAGGCTAGCACAGAGCAGGCATGGCAATTTGAGGTGGTGACACAAATGTGTCTGGGAGCAGCCAGGGCTGGCTCCTTTCCAGGGACTGGGAAAAGCAGGAGCTGAGTGTGATCCCACAGCCACGGGAGTGGGACCTCATCACTGTCCTACAGCAGGGGAAGAGTTAAATGGGCTCCAGGTGAGGCTGGGCAGGACCATTTTATGTGAAATGGGCTCCAGGTGAGGCTGGGCAAAACCATTCCAGGTTAAAGGGCTCCAGGTGAGGCTGGCAGGACCATTCCAGGTTAAAGGGCTCCAGGTGAGGATGGGCAGGACCATTCCAGCCAATTTGGGCCCTGACAAAAGTCTTACATTAACCACAGACAGCAGGTTCGGATCTACTCTGTTAAGATGCAGTTATTCCTCAAGGTTTGTGTTGCTCCATCCAAAACTGAAAATGTGCATTTTTTGCAGAGCTGTGAGTGCTGACCCATTGTTAAGCTTTTTGCTGCTCTTGGTTTTTTTGTACCTGAATCATCCCTAGGTCTTATTGCTTCAGTGTTTTACTGCTGCCAGTATGTCTATGATTATTTCTCCTAAGCTGTGGTCCCAGTTGCTTTTTTTAGACAGCTTCCTTGTGGTGAAAGGCCAGAACATTTTCATGGATTTTCAAAAGCAGGGCTGTTTTTCAGCTGTTGGATGTATAGGTTCCAAAGAAGGTGCTGGGAACTAACTAATGATGTTCTGGTTTGGACTGACATCCAGAAAGGTGCTAGAACATGATGTGTAGTATTTCTTAATCTTTTCATTGAGATGATTAGTGGGGTTTTTTTTGCTGTCCTTGCAGCAGTGTCATTGCTGGAACTGGAGCAGATGTTGGTGTTAAGTATACAGAGCCATAGCAAATGACTGCATATCTAAATTTGTGTCTTGTTTGTACTACAAAGTATCTGAGCTCTGTACCATCATTTTATAATGGTTGAGATATTTGAGGAGGTGTTTAAAAATTAGCCTGGTGTGAACTAAATGAATGAAAAAAAACTGAAGTGATGCCTTCCCTTGGTCTGTTTGCTGAGGGTGGGAGGTGAGCTGTGTGGCTCGTACTGAAGTTCTAACAGTGGAATATGACCTTAAAATTGTGATTGGACCTGGAATGTTGTTGTTTCAAAGAAAGCCAGAGTTGGTTTTCTCAGTATTTATGCACACAGGTGGGAAACTGCACATATTTGAGATGCAGAATGTCCAGGCTGTTTTCATGGGACCATGGTGCCTGCAGACTGAAACATGATGGAAAACTCTAGAGCCCCAAACGCCAAGATTTGGTTTCTGAGGATCACAAAGCAAAACTCCATCTCTTTCCTAGGGTTTTCTTCTTCACAGAGACCTCAGTCACTCTCACCACCTTTGTAGCCCACTGGCAATCCCACAAAGGAGCAATCATAAGCAGTGAAAATATGAAGGTGAAGGAGAACATCCACCCCAGATTGTGTGGAATAAAAGACTTAAATGAAAAATGCAATCCATATATTGCAATGTCCTCCTTCAGCTTCATTATTTTTCTGCACACACAGTGTTTGATGCAGTGCTGTGAGCATTCTCTGGAGCCTTTTTCTGTGATGAGCACTTAGTTTCTGTGGCTCTCTGGTGTTAATGAGCCCAAGCAGATTCAGGAACTAAATCCAAATGGCAGAAAACTTCAGGAATTCAGTGAGCAAAGTTAAGAGGTTTTTGTTGTTATTTTCAGTAACTGTTGGTAAGAATGTGATGTTAATTGGAGGGGTTGACCTCTGCCTCCAAAGGCAGATTCATTATTTCATCTTTTCCAGCCTTCAGACTGTTTTATCTTGGACCTTCCTCTTTCTAAGGACTGGTATTTCTTCCATTGTAAAGCATTAAAAGATTTTTTTTCCCATTTGGAGCTGTTTTTTAAGGAGGCAGCTCCCTCTGTGAGTGCTTGCTGTGCAGGAAGGGCTGCAAAGGTTTGTGTGTCAGTGGTGCCCAGACCTTGGGAGAAGTCCTACTTCCGGGGAAAGGGAAAAGCTGTTCTGGGATGCCATTTGGAGCTGAGCAGAAGCAAACCCAGCAGCTCTCTGGAACAGGAGTCCAGAGCAGCTGTGGGTGCTCCATCCCTGAAATGTTCAAGGACAGGTTGGATGGGGCTCTGAGCAACCTGGTCTAGTGGTTGTACCCACCCATGGCAGGGGGGTTGGAACTAAATGTGTCCCTTCCAAGCCAAACCATTCTATGATGGCAGATTTAGTAGCACTTTGTGCACTAGGAACTTTGTCTGGTTGATAACATAATTTGCAAAAGCATTTTTATCAGGTAGATCAACCCTGAAGTTTGGTTTTAGTTAAAACAGGTCAACTGGTCAGATAACTCAGGGAGTAAAGGGGTATCAAATAAAATGTTGGTAAACGCACAGAAAAGTGAAGGGCATTATGAAATAATTATTATCTCCTAAACAAAGCCACCAAAAACTTTGTATTTACATGACAGGCATTTCCTAATTCTCTGTGTCTGGGGCTCAAAGGAGCAGTGTGTTGTTACCCTGCTCCAGGTCTGCGAGTAGCAGCAGCTATAGTTTCTCACATTGATAGTGAGTTTCACACACTTGGGAAAAATGCTTTGAAATCCCAGGATTAAGGAGAACCGGACAGGAATTACTGTGTCTCTGCTATTGCCCACAGTGTTTCAGATTGAGGAGAAGCTGTACTTTGTTCTTTCTGACAGTTCAGACACTGATCTTTTTCTGCTGGGTTTACAGATCGTGCTCTTGCCTGAAAGCACTTGAAGTGGATCATGATCTTTCTTTTTACTAGATATTGTTGCCCAAATAAATACTTAGGACAGAAATGTTCAAAATGGTGTTGTCATCCCCACTCAGTGCAGGCTTTCTATGCTAGAAAAAGAGACATCTAAAAAATGATTCAACTGCATAAATTATATTGTATATGCACAGGCACCAAGCAGAGCATCATATTCTGCAGGATGAAGATCTCTATTTAGGAAAGCATCAAAATCTGCAGTATTTTGCAGAACCTGAAAAATCAGAACCAGGGATGTGTAGGGTTCTTGTTTTTGAGTTTGGCCTCATTTCTGCTCCTGCCATTGACTTGAATTTTGGGCTGTATTAAAGTAACCTTTGTGTTTGGGAGAAAGAGGTGGTCAGTAATGCAGGAGGTGTAGTGGGTGTGTTAATGTGTGCAATGTAATGGTTATGTCAATGTGCACAGCTGGAGCAGGACGTGGCACAGTGCTCTGGTATTTGAGCCAGTTCTGAACTGAAATTTGCTCAGGGCTTGGAACAGCCCTTCCCAGAACACAGGGAAGGGCATTTGTGTGATCATTGAACATTCCTCTTGATTTAATATAAGCAAAGAATAGAGATTTATTTTTAGTCCAGTGCAACTCTCTCCAAACCCTCCCCCTTTAACTTAATTTTCATTTTCATTTGGATTCACTTTCTTTTCTTACTGTTTTTGAGAATGCTGCAGACAGTAGGGTTCTGTACCCCAGTTGTAATCCAATGGCACTCAGAAGGGAAGAGACTTTGCTCTACAGACATTATTCTGCAGGATGATGTGTACAGCACAGCTCACGGGCAGATTTGTTAGGACTGTGCATATAGAAAATGCTTCCAAAGCAATGAGAGATTTGGGCTGCTCGGTCAGGTCCTTGAATGATGAATGGATTTATTCAACAGCAGTCATCTGCATGCTTTTGACATTACCTGAGTTCCATTTTGCTGTGGTCACAAGGAGCCGGAGGAAATTGAGTTTTGTCAGTCTTGGGAAATGGTGTCTAATTGCACCCTGACTTATTTAGTGTTCTGGAGAGCTGATACAGTTGATATTAGAGGATGATTGAATTTTATTGATGTGCGGCTGCTTGTTATGAAAAGGAACATCACGGTCCTGTTCCACTGCGATTTTTTTTGTTTTATGAAAATATTTTTGTATCTTTCATATCAGATGTGATATTATTTCCCCACCAGATGTCACGCAAACAAGCCCTAATTATGCACATATTCAGTGTACTGGAGCTCAGGGAACCTGCTCAATGGCTGACTAATATTGCTTGCAGAGTGCTGTACTTGTATAAATATAGCATTTACTTGTTCCAAGCCACCTACAGTTACTTCTGCTTGAGATTTATATAACCAGTAATATTTTATGTTTTCAGCCTATACAAAGGAGGTATTGTATTAGATGAAGAAAGAGCTTCTTTTTAATGCTGTAGTTAAGGTTCCACAGTTTCTCATCTTGCTTTCCAACTCCTTCTGCTCTTGTAAAATTCATGATGAATTTTTCAATTTATTTTATAAATGCAGAGTTTGTTTCTAGAGCTTTATTTCCTACAAGTAAACGATCTGATCTTCTTTTTCAGACTTTAGTGTTTCAATGCAACGTTTTGGTATGTTGCAATGCACTGAGAACCTCTTGGTGGACTGGCCTTTATCAACTTGAAATATTAAATGGTACTGTATGTCAAAGTATGAAAAAATAGTGGTTTAGATGATATCCAGGAGGCTCCATTCATAATCTCTCTCTCTCTTGTTATTATGTCAAGAATAGTGTGTATTATTTACACTCATTGAAGAGGATGTGAGGCTAGTTTTACATTTTCTGGGCCCGGAATAGCCATGAGTGATGAAGCCATGCCTTTCTGCCAGGGTGCTCTTGCAGGCAGCACAGCAGCTGTGCCACGAGCTGCAGGGGCACTCGGGTGTCCTGAGCAGCTGTGGCTGCCCCTGGATCCCTGCAAGTGGCCAAGGCCAGGCTGGATGGGGCTCTGGTCAGGCTCTGGGAGGTGTCCCTGCCATGGCAGGGCGTTGGGATGATCTGAGCTGTAGGGTCCCTTCCAACCCTGACTATTCTGTGATGCTCTGTGGGACGTTTTTGCAGGGGAGTCCTGCAGGCAGGAGCTCTCCAGGAGCTGCAGAGCATCCCCTGCCTGTTGCTCCTAGACCCACTTTTCCTCTTGCTGCTTTCTTCTGCAGAGGCTGTGGGCTTGAGGAAGAGGAAATGTGAGAACAGGCAGCCTCCTCTTGACTTTAAAAAATCAAGGCTTTTGTTTGTCATGTAGCAGGCAGGAGTGTGAGGCAGCAATGCTATTTGTCCTAAAAGGACTCCCGTACCTAACTGGCAGGCCTTCTCCTGAGAAAGAAGCAAAAAGGAAAATGCAGACTCTGTGAATGATGCTCCAGATGTGTCCTCCTCCCTTTTCCTCCAGCTAGAGTTTTCTCTTCCCAATCCCAAATGATTGTAACCAACAATCACCCCTGTTTCTGGAGGGGTGCTTCTGTTTGCATCTGTACCAGGGTGCATTTTTAACTGAGTTGCCCTTGGTAGCTCAGAGGTGATCATGGCAGAGACATTGCTGCATGCCAGGGTTTATTCTGATCCTGGCCTGGAACAGGGAGAGGCAATGCTCCCTTGTCACTAACATGAATTAGTGGGATATCACTCTTCTTAAGTATGTGTGACCTAATAAGAAAACTCAGTAACTAACCATGGAAGAGTAATTTTAGCAGAGAACAAATTGCATTGGGTATATTTAGTTTCTTTTACTTCAAACCAGTGAGAATATCATTACTAATCTTTATTCAGGTGTCTTTTACTTAACTGCATAGCAAAATCTCTAGTCAAAGAATATAAATAGATTCAAGAGCAATTGTGAAATGCTATCTAAAATGAATAGCTCAAATTGGACTTGGAAAATGATTGCAATATAAAAATGTATTCAGTATATTGCTGATTTTTTTCTAGCTAGAAAGCTTCTTTCTATTTTTTTTTTTTTCTGGTTCTTATGCTATGGTGCCATTCTTGAGAGGACTCCAAAGAAATACAAATACACCAGAAAAATTACATTAATGAGAAGTGAGGAAAAAAATCCCACGAGGTTTTGGTGGTTTTGTTGTTGAAATATTTGTAATTTTGTGTTTTAAATACATGGCCTAAAATGACTGACAAAAAATTTCAATTATGAAAAGCATTATCAAGTTTTAGTACATTCTGATTAGCGTGATACTCACTAATGTGTTCTGCTTGGGAGCTGATGATGCAAGATGGCTTAAATGTGTAGTTCATTATTATTATGGATGGTTTTTAAATTTACTGAATTGCTTCACCCAGTGCTGCAAAATAAAAAATTATTTTCCCAATTATACTCTTTTGTACTGAAGTGTTTCTAGTTATAGGAATTTACATGTCAGAATAACTTGCTAAAGAAAAGAATTGCTGTTTTTAAACAGAAAGCCAATAAGAATAATGGTTGTTAACACAGATTTCTATTGAATAGCTTAAAACATATTAAAATTTAGAGACAAACAGTCATAAATAAATAAAAACATGAACAGTAATAAATAAAGCACTGAGTGTGGTCAGCTCTTACTTGTTTTTGTGCTCCTGCTGATGGCACTTTGCTGAAGTCCCTGTGGGTGAGTTTCATGGACACAGATGGGGGTGTCTGGTTCTCCCAGGCAGGAGGGGTTGATGCACCTGAGCAGAGTTCTGGCTGAAAGAACCCCTGGCATGTTTGGTATCAATGGGAATGGGGTTGTTTAACCTGGAGAAAAAGAGCCTCAGGGGTGACCTTATCGCTCTCTACAGCTCCCTGAAAGGTGGCTGTGGCCAGGTGGGGTTGGGCTCTTTCTCCAGGAACTGGCAGAACTGCAGGACACAGTCTCAAGCTGCACCAAGGGAAATTTAGGTTGGATATTAGGAAAATGTTTTTCACAGAAAGAGTGATAAAGTTCTGGAATGACCTGCCTGGGGAGGTGGTGGAGTCCCCATCCCTGGCTGTGTTTAACAAAGCCTGGATGTGGCACTGCAGGCCAGGGTTTAGTTGAGGTGTGGGGCTGGGTTGGACTCAATGGTTGGAAGGTCTCTTCCTACCCTGTGATTCTGTGAATTCTGTCTGCAATGTGGTTTCCTTCTGCTTGATGTCCCTATGGACACCATGAGAGGCATCTGGTCATCCTGAGTTAGCCTGTGCCATCACATCACCTAAAATCAGAGATTGCATTTTATGGATTAGGTATTGAGCTTCCTATTAATGCAGGCTCACAGACAAAGTCTGTATTTTAGACTAAAATTTAGTTACAGAAAACATGAGTAGTGTAAATGGAACCCGTGATTAAAGACTTAGATAAGAATAGGTACTGAAATTTGGGATGGATTAAAGAAAATTTCTGTTCTCCATTTTATCCTGGAAAAGTGTCTTTTAATAATCAAGGACTATTTTGTTAATACAGTACGATACTTAGTAGCTGAAGTTTTTAATTATTTTAATAATTTTTAGAGTAATGATCAGTTGATAATAAGGGATAGTTTACAGTTGGTCAGCCTCAGTCAGAACTGTGGCTTCTTCTTCTTTGCCTCTCAGGAAAATTAGTTCCATTTAATGGAAGTAGTGCTGCAGTACTTTTTGCTGGATTTTGAGTTTGTTTTTTGTGTGTAAAATATATTTTAAAAATAGTTGCCTGTTATATATGTGTATTTCCATGCATCATAGAGATTAGTCACTGTCTATTATAACATGCACTTTAGAAGGCTTTTTCTTTAAAACAAAAAAAACCTGTGCATTAATGCACAGAAATGTGGACTGCAGTTTGTCTTCCAACCTTTTTTATGTGGCATCTTTTTATCCAAAAGGAGTATTGAATGTGATAGGAATCAATAGGGGTTTCTTTTGCACACTTGTAGTGTGCAATAACACTATCTGTGGGGTGAAGCTGGCAGCATAAGGAAGAGTGACCCCAGAAACAAGAAATTCAGAAACTGCTGTGAGCTCACTGCAAAGTGCTGCTTAAGTACCCTTGTGGCAGAAAATGCATGAGTACTAAAAGAGCAATTCACTGTGGTCAGCCACAGAGCAACCTCTGCTCTGAAATGTGTGCAAGTTAGAGAGGGTAACAATTCAGAGTACTGCTAGAGCACAATGGCTCTTGATGGCTCTTGGTTGCTTAAGAACCACTTTAATAAGTTTGTTTTGTCGGAGGTACCTGCCTTAAATTATTGATGAGTCTGGGTTAGGCAGTACAGGCTCAACAGAAATATTTTTTTTTTAAATGGATCTGTGTCCTCTTTTGCCAGTATGGTTTCAATATGGTATGCTCTGCATTTACAGTAAGAAATGTTATCATTTTATAAGGTATAAGAGCTGGAGTTTATTAATTACACATACTTTGTTATTATTACACACACTGTTGAGCTCTATCAGTCATTCCCCTGAGTGAGAACTTAATGCTGAGGAGTAGTTCATGTAGGGGTGGATGTTGCTGGGAAATGGCAGTCTTCTTTTGTGCACCTTTTCACTCCAATTGTGAGCTGTTCATCCCAAACTAAGCCAGAGCTTGTTGGCATCCCAGTGCTGGCCTGCTCCAATTAGTTGGTGAAGTTGGTTCTCCCTTGGCTCTTTGTGTTGGAATGACCACCGAGTGCCAGGCTTATCTCTGCCATCCTTTCCTGCAGCAATCACACTAATTATGGCTTTGCAGGACACTGGGAGCTTGTGTCTGGGCAGCTTCCAATGCTCTCAGCAGCACTGTGGGCTGCTGAAAATGACAACTTGCCCTGTCTGATATTTCAAAATGCCATTTGAGGGCTGCTTGGCAGTGCCGGGCTCCACGTGAGGAGGCACATTCTCACACTTGACTCCAGCCCTGCACCCAGGTGGTCCCTAAGGGTTCAAGGTATCTGCAGCACAAGCTGTGTCAGGCAGAGAAGGCAGTCGAGGAAAAATTACACTTTAAAATTTCCCCCCAGGTTTGGAGATCAAAGGTGTTTTGAAAGGAACTCTGGTGATTCAGCAAAACCTTTTAAATTCAGAATAATATTTTGAGGCTCATGGTTGTAGACTGCGACACTGCAGAGAGATAGTGCTGAGTTGTTATTCCTGAATTACTCTAAAAGTGAATGAGATTTTTTCTTGCCAACTCAGTAAAAGTTAAGGTGAGATCAGTTTTATGTGCTTCTGCTCATGTTCATGTCTAAGGTGGTAAAAATAGGATGTTGAAGAGTGTCAGAGGTCAACTTCTTAATTTAGACCAAAAGTGGAAAATATTCAGGAAATTCTTGGGTAGAAGATTAGTGACGTAGTAGAATGGGTGAAAGAATGAATGAATGCTTGCAATACTAATTTACAACAGAAAGATGGATTTTAGAATAATTTATATGAGCTCCCTGAGCTCATTTAAAATTGATGAACGAAGATTTCAGTAATTGAAAAGAGCTAAGAGTAGTGCTGAAGCATGACTTGAGAATAAAGAAAAAGGTGTGCAGTATTGAAGAATGAATAAGAGTACAGAATAAACTTGTGGAGAACTGGGGAATTTGGACAAAAGTACCAGTGAAGGAGCCACAAAACATAGATGGAGCTGGAAGATGTGAAGTCTTTGATTTCCCAATTTTACAGGCTATGCATGTGAATTGTTTGTACTCTGATTTTGCCTCCCCTGCTTCCTCTTTTACATCTTTCTGTGTGTGTTTCAGTGGTTTTTTGGAGATGGATGCTGTTTACTGCACAGTCTGGCAGAAATCTGATTGTAATTTATGGGATGAATTTTTTCATTTATTCCTTACAAACACCTTGCAGTTTCTCCCTTGGGAATGTCTCAAGGGCGTGGCTGCAGCTGGGGCAATATGCCACCAAAAAATGATAATATTTACCTGTATCTTTAAGCAGTCTTTGATGGATTGCCTCCTTGACTTTCCTGACTCATCAATCAGTTTCAAAATACCATTTTCCTTTGACTTTATTATTTTTAAGAAGTGCCATGGTTTTTTTATGCTGCAGAAGCACAGTGAAGTGGGTATTGCTTATAGACCTCACAGAACTGGACTCAGTTAGCTATAAGGTCCTGTCCTTTCCTTCTTAGGCACAGTATGTTCCCTTGGGGACAAATTCTGCTCTTTACAGAGGCTCTACATGTGTAACTGAAAGCAGAGTTCTTCCATTTGTGACAACTGTATTTAGATTTTATAAACATCAGGTTCAGCAGTTATTCTGGCTGCTTTGAAGCAAATCACTATACATTTGCTTTTGAAAAATGCCCTCCTGTCCAGAAAATGCTAACATTTTTTTGTTCTATGGCTGTTTGTTGTCAGTGTTTTTGGCCCACTATCTCTAAATACTTTTGGTTTTGAAAGCACCTTCAGCCCAGCATTAAATCACATCATGACTGATGGTTCCCACGGATTGTTATTTATTGTTGTCTCCCAGCTCCAGTAACTCTTTCTGCTGGGCTGTCTGCAGTGCTGACGTGGTTTATAAGGGAGCTGTAAAATGGCTAAAAACCAGCTGGGTTTTGGTGTGGTGGTTGGTAATGTCCATTCACAGCGGGTGTGTGTTGGGGTGAGTGAGAACATGCTGCTCCCACATGTCTCTGTTATCCCCAGGTCCCTGAAGGACACAAGCTTGGCTCTGTGCCTGTCTGGTGCAGTTTGCCTCACTGAGGTTTTGCTGTCAGGGCTGAGGAGCTGAGCTCTCACACCTGCTGTGAATCTCACTGTTCTCAGCCTGTCTTTCTAGGGAGAAGTACATCCCCTGTGTGCTTGAAAGCATTATTCTGGCAGGCAAAAATGTGCTGGATAGCACAGCACTCCATTTCATTAAGCCAAATAAATTGATATTTAGCGGAGTCCTTTTGATAAAGGATCACAGCCCTGAAATATCAGCTGGCATAATTTTGCAATTCTCTGTTTAATTGAGTGGAGTTAAATGAGTTCATACTGGCCTACCTGGGATGAGGATCAAGCAAAGACTGAGTGTGTCGTAATGAGCCAAAGACAAATTAATCTGAGATGATTTCTATCCTTTGTGTCCTTGGAAGGGACCAATGTAGTGTTACACAGATTCAGCTTCTGCTTTAAAGTTCAGCAGTTTCAGCAGTACTAAAAATCTGTTTGATTTTTAAGATTTTTTTTTTTTGAATACTCCAGCATGAGCTTCTGCATCATCCTGCCCAACAACAAATGCTGTGGTTATGTAAAACTTTCAGGTGCCTAATTTTTATTCAGGTGATGTGATTATGTGGACTTTTGGATGTAATAAATCCATGTAAATGCTGCAACTGTCCAAGAAGAAATTGTGATTCTACAAGAGCACTGACATAACAGTATTATTGCACAATATGTGTTTCAGCATTATGTGCAGTGAAAACAAATAAAAACCCATTAAGAGCAGCAACAGGTGTTTGAGTCTAGCACAGAAACATAATCATTAATGGTTATTTCCTTTCTTCTCATTGGAGATGCAGTAATTGTTCCCTGAGAATTTGGTGGTGATGGGGATTTCTTGCTATTTATTTTAATAATATCCTCTGCAGCACCAGTAGATAGTACCTTCAATGTTAATAATTTTTCAGC